AAAAAAAAAAAAAAAAAAAAAAACACATCTTAGTAATACCAATACCTTCTCAGCTTCGCATCCAAGCTAAAAACAGGTCAATTGTTAAAAACAATGAGAAACACGTTTCCATACTTAATGAACACTCTATATATTAGTAATAAATATTTAATGAACATAATTATAAATACTTTCGTGTACTATTAATGAAAAATCTCTCTATTCATTACAATTAAACAATAAAATATTAGAGTATAAATTCTAAATCTTAATAAAACTTATTTTTAATTAAAAAATATCTAATAATTTTTATGATAATCATTAATTATCTATTTTAGTATATATGTAATTTATATCATAACAAGAAAATATTCATTCACACTGATCTTAAATAAACTGTTAAATAAAATGATTAAGGCCCAACTTGTTTCAAATGTAAATGTTACATACCAATGTTACGATTTGATGTTGAATAAGTAATAAAAAAATACTTGTAACGAGATGTTTTTCATTAATATTTTCTTTGGCTCTACTCACGACAGGAAACCATAACACTGCCTTGGCGACGGATATAGATAGAATAGTAGTATTGGACAAAACTTTATGTTTGTGCAATAATTTTAATCTTACAACAAAAGCGTTTGTAAAAAAAAAGATATGTCATCATTAACTAAACTTTAAAATGAATAAAAAATGACTGTATTCACCGAATATAACATACATACATATATATAATATTACACATTAACACTCATATTGAAATTTGTAACTTATTTTATCATTTTATTATTAACTAAACATACATAAGGAAACTATTATAATTGTCTATGTTTTCAACAAGTCACATTTTATAAACGACTTCTAATTATAACTAGTTGCTAATAAGACTTTGTGATTAGTGATGAATTTTCTCTAATCACAAGAACTTTATTGAAATATAAAATTTTCCATAAAATAAATTTTTTACATGTCCTTAAAATATTATATTTTTCAGCAAAGCGAAATCGTGGATTTTCATAAATATTATATAAAATATAATTTGTAACTTGTCTGAAGACGTATAAATTTTCTTAATCGCCATGTAAAAAAAAATAACTTAGGAAATAGTACGTTATAAAATCTAAAAACAACAATAATTTTTAAAATTTTTATCAATAAAATAAATGAACCATATGAGTTAATTCCACTACAGCACTTGAACAATTTTTTCTTTTAAAATGTCACACCTTTAATGTACACTTACGCAGCCAACACACACTAATGATTATAAACAAGACAACTAGAATAGACAATAAATTAATGGACACAAATGTTTTTTTATTCAACTATTTTTCTAAAATATAACAGGAAAATAAATTTCAAATTGAACACGTCAAAGTTGCTTAATGCGAAAATAAACATTATTGAACTTGTTCATATTTAGGAACGAGCGATTTTATTTATCCAAAATTATGTTTACCTTAAACTTTATATCTTTTCTTTCACAACCTCTTCGGTATATTTTTTACTTGTAATAAGTTCTCTAATGGAATATTTTATTTTTTTAAACATTGCCTGAATAACAAATCGACTTGAGAGCACAATAACTCAATGAAAATTTTTAAGAATTTAAAAATGTTATCAGTTTAAACCAGGTTATACCCAAAGTTATTTGGTAAGTGTGCGGTAAATAATATTTACAGTATTACCATTTGATATAATATAAGTTAAAAAGCAAAAAAAATTACTTGAATAATAACTAATAGTTATAATTACTACTAATTTAATTATAATCAATTTTATCTAATCTATAAAATTAATAAACTGTTATGATTTTGAATTTCTATTTTGGTAATTACAATACATGCACTATTTTTTAATGAAATTAAAATTAAAGTGCCTTACATTGTTATGAAATTTTCTATTTTATTTTCGATCAGGATGTTCTTAAATTTAGCGATTAATACAAAATTAAGATAATACGTTTTATTTGAAAGACTTAAAAATTGTGTAAAATATAAACTTTTGGGCCTTAAAAAGGCAAAAGAGTAGTTGAATTTAATAAAATAAAACGCAAAACATTTTTTACTGCATATAAATAGTTGTTGTAATTTTTTACAGTATAAAGTATAATTTATTCAATTTAGTGTAACAGATGATAAAATCTGTACATAAATGATAAAAAAAGCTTACTAATTAGTTGTATATAACGCGTATGAGTGAAGCTCAACTATTGTACATATACCTTAACCATGCTCTGTACCCTCTCTATCTATTAAAATACTCTTAATAAGTATTTGTTCTATAATTGTTAACGACCCATCAAAACTTTTTGTACAGAATGGGTTAAAAAGTGATTATTTTAAAGTATTGAAAAAATATTAAATGTTTTATATTTTCCTAATGGAATTTCTTACGATATATCACAACATTTAAAAGTTACCGAAAGTACTATATACTGATTTGCAATGGTGTAATAGTTTTTCAATTTTTAGTATCTCTTGAAAATGTTCAAAAACTGAGTGAAGCTCTTTTTGAAATTCAGTATTAAAAAAAAAAAAATCAAGCAAACTACATTGTTGAGTACTATGAAGCTTTATTATAAATTTGTTTAATTAAAATCAAATATATAAAAGTCATAATGTGACTTTTTTATAACAAATCTGAAAAGCATAATTATACAATTTTGAGAATTTTTGTACTGTGCAATAATATATTAAATAAATGGTTAGAACGAACAACTAACTGAAATTAACAAAGAAATAATAATTAAAAATAACAAAGAATTTCTCCCGTAAAAATGTTGCCAAGAACTGTGTAAATTATACCTTCACTATTCTAGATTTAAGTGTACATTCCAAACAAATTACTGAATTATAAAAGTTTTATGGGTTTTATTAACTAATCAATGCTGTTATTTTATAAATTTTATCGTTTAATTAAAATTAAAAAGCAATTATGTAAGTTTTATTAAGTACCATTATTGACAACACTGAATTGTTTTTAAACTTAATAAAAACAGAAAAAAATTGTTGTTAATTGATAAATAAAACTACAGAAACCAAATTGTAATTGATGGTTGTTAAATAATTAATTGAGTAATTAATCGACTAATTATTCTGATATTAGTTGGACGATTGTAAATCCTAAAATAAAAATCAATATAAAAACGCACGTCTTTAAATCAAACGAAAACATCTTGAGATATATAAATAGTCTTAAAATATCTCCGGGAAAATAATTAAAAATATCGTATTTTTCAAAATTAAATCAAAGTATGAATAATTTTTTTAAACAGTTATGTTCTTGTTGGACAGGGCAATGTGGTATGGAACAGACAGAGGCAAGAAAATAAAATGACGATGACTCTGATCGCTGTTGTCATCATGTTCTGCGTATGCCAAACGCCAACGGCCGTCATGATGTTGGTGGCGTCCATGTACGAGCCACCGGAAAAATCGGCTGCGTACTACGTAAACCGTAGTTTGCACACTATATTCAACTTCCTCATGGTGGTCAACGCCGCCTCTAACTTCATATTGTACTGCGCTATGAGCCGCAAATACCGGCGCACTCTTATGATAACGTTCCTACCGTACTTCGCAGCACGGCACACTCGCACGACAACTCTTCAATCATCCGTGAGTTGTCCGAGGTCCGCCACCGTCTATCGCCACAACACTGAAATGACGCAGATGACCGATTTGAGCGGTTACGGCAAACGCGATCCTCTCCTGTGCATTGAAGCCGATGGCCGCAAAAACAGCACGTCAAGCAAATCCGACATCGTATAAATCGTTTATCGGCAGCGCATTAGCTTCATCTCCTTTACCGCGACCGTTCGCCGTTTCCTCGTCCTGTCTATTCTTTCTACGCCCTACTCGAACGTCAACTGATAAGACGATCGAATCACGTGTTCAACGCACGCGACAACCGCGTCCAAAGGTAGTGCATTGAACCGTCACGGCGTTTGGTAACATTTCAACGGAAAACGTTTTTCCAAAGGCGTTACAGTCTAAATTACAACCGCCCAAAATTTAAATACTATTCAATGCTATTATACATACTATCTAAACACCATTGTGGATATTGTCCAACACGACGTACTCGATTTAAAAATCATTTCGATGTTATTATTGTGTAAAGAGTTTTTTTTATATATATATACAAATTCTCGTCCTTCCCGTTTTGCAAGTATGTGTGTGTGAAAGTTGTTAAATTTTAAAACAATTGAAATTAGTTATTAATTATTGTCCTACGCTCCAGTAAGCTTAAAATAAAAATTCCAAAGCTTGTTTTAATAATATATATAACGGAACATTAATATTAAAAAAAACTTTTGTTGAGTTTACATCAGTTTCATTCTCACCGAACCATTTGGTAGGGGTGGGGGTAGCTTAACCCGAAATAGTCGGATCTGGAATTGTATACTTATATTTGTTTGCAGTGTATATGTGTGTTAGAGTGGACTATATTTTAATTTTAATATCTGGCAACATAAAACGTAAGGCGACAATGTTTTCTGTATGCCATTTCAGTGCCGGTATTTCGCTATTTTTACAATGCACTGCGGCAAAGGGACGATGAAAAAAATGACAGCCGTCATACTATTCCGTATGCTTACTTAAGAGCAATATTTATTTTTCTGGTCCGCCCCCTACAGTGTAACTCAACCTAACCGTAGGAATAATGAATTTTTTTTCATACATTAATTATATCAGTGATATCTTGATTGTAAATTGAAGGGTATTTTTTCAAACGTATTAGTTTCATTTTTTTAATTATAAAGGACACCTAATCTAAATAAATATATTATATTTAAAATAGCAAGAAAAATGTACATTTTGTGTTATTTTAAAAAATTATTTGTAAAATAGGCATTTTACAAATAATTTTTTTTTTATGGAAATAATTTGCAAATACTAATTTCTGAAATCATTATTAAATTCCGCACGATTTGTTCTAGAAGAATTGATAATTTACCCAATATTGACTTTTTTGGAAAGTTACCCTTCAATTGTGTTTTTATTTTCTGATAATCATGAAAAGATTTAGTGAAATAAAAGCTTATTAATATTATAAATGACCAAGTTACCAATTGGAATTATAAGTTTTTTGATTTATAATTTTAATTACTGAACATTAATATAAAAAATGTTATAGACAAATAGCTCATTAAATTAATTAACTATTGTTTTATATAAATTACAGGAGTTGATTGTTGTATAAAATTTATAACTATTTGACCAACACTTGGTCTTGGTTCTACCATTATACCTGGTTATGCCAATTATAATTTTTAATTGTATTGATACCTAATACATACTATATTGAGTTCTAAGTTCCTGTATTAAAATTTGCATTTAAAAATCATATTAAAGATATTTACATAAATATCACAGTTTGAGACATAATTATACTTCCTACAAATCATGTTTTAATAATTATCTTATTTAAAATAATATTTGATAATTGTAGTGTAAAATAATATATAATAAAATTTTATCGGAAAAGTGAACGTGTCATACATTTCGAGTCCCCTCAACTGTTGCAATATGCAATTGTATATTGTTTAGTTAAAACTCGTGGTTTTTAATAATTATACTTCTTAAGTTTAAGAAATGTTGTTCCTTAGTAACTTTCTATGTAACCAATGTATGTCTTCAGTAATAAATTTAATTAAAAAATTACAACTATGTCAGGTAATAATTTATACTTGCCTATAGATACATACGAACAAACTTAAAATCCAAATATTTTTTATAAACAATATATTTTATTTTATCATAATAATCGACGCACTAAATGTAAACACCACTGAAAACTAATTTTTAACTTATGGCAAAAAATCCGTCTCAATTTTTTAGAAAGTATTTACTAATTACGTCATAGCTATTTTATAGGATTAATATTTATTTTAGTTATTCTTTATCTAGTTATTTTAATTATATTTTTGTCGTATAAACTTAAATATATCCATTTCTTTTTTTAATAAAAATGATCTTAAAATTTTAATACATTTCTCAGCTTGAATATGTTTTAAATATCAATAGATATGTATTTATTAACAACAGTATATTTGAGAACCAAACTTGAACTCATGATAAACAATTTTTTTTTTTGTTTTTCACTGCACAAAAGTTCACTTCAAGTTAAAGTATTAATGTGTTGATCATTTATAGTTCAATACAATAATCGATTATGCATTATAATTTTATGTACAGGCAATTGAAACAAAATTCGGATGTACCGTAATCTGTAAACAACTGGAGACTGAATTAGTATTACACCTTTATAAAACAGAAGATTATCGTTAACGCCAAACCTGAATAAGGTCGGTTTTTTGATCCCGCCAAACTGATTTTCTACCTATCTATCTACTAAAAAATTTGAAAACCATTTAGCTTTTTCCAAGGCTCATTACGAGACAGTGGCGGTTTTAGCGTATGGGCAGGGTAGATAGGTGTCTGTACCAAAATATTCGACATTTATTTGTTAAAAAGGTCAATAGTAACGTTCAGGTCTTTATTTAAGATTTTTGCATGGGGGATTAATATTGATGTGCAAACAAAATAATTTTTTACCCATCGCCATCAAATGAGTTCACCCCAAAAAATGTTTGCCCCGCCCCTAAATATGATTACGTCATTTTGAATAATTACTTATTTTATCACATAGGTACACCTTTATAAACAAAATATATATTGCGATAAAATATATTGATACGGCCTTTTTTAGCGGAAACGATGAACGCCCTTTAAAATATTTTTGTGACATAATTTGTATGCAACTAATACACCACTCTTTAGATAAGAATTATGATTATACATTTTTTTACCCGATACTTACTAGATGCATCCCGAGGTCAGGAAGAAACAAATTTTATATAAAAATTGCAACCCAAATCGTATTGTAACTTAAAAAGACTTTATACTACTTGCACCCTTTGTTGAGTGTCATGAGGTACAATTTCAATACCAGTGGCTTTTCCAATGTCATAAAAAATATTTTTACAATACAAATATTATGTAATATATTCATACTACAATACTTTACTTTAAGAAAAAATGAAAAAGTTTCAAACAAAAAGTTATTATCATAATTTAATTTATTCAATTATACAGAGTGATTTTTTTATCATAACCCACTCAATTACTTACAGAATAAATATATTTAAACTTTTTTTTTTAGTTATCTTTAGTTACACATTATTCTTGAATTATTAACTATGTAATATTTTTTAAGTTCATCCCTTATGCCTTGAAAGGGGGCCAACTTTGGGTTTTTAAATATAACACATATTTTTAATTTAATAGAAAATGTTTGAGTTTTTAATTTAATAGTAAATGGCATTTGAATTTTAAATATAACTTTATTCGTTTATTAGATATAAATATTTAAAGTTTCAAATTTTTGAGTTAATATACATGTATAATACACAAGGTATTACAAATACAGGTAGCTAATTGGTTTTTTATGACATCAATATTCGTAGGTACACAGCATTGTTATTATCAATGGTAGTAAGGCACATTGTTGTGAGTTCATAAATACACTAACTGACTATTTAAAAAGTATATCTATTGATAGTCATAATTGATAATAAACAATCCATGACTATGACAGCGATGTCATAAAAACCATTTAGCTACCTGTATTTGTAATACCTTGTGTATTATACATGTATAATATTAACTCAAATATTTGAAACTTTAAATATTTATATCTAATAAACGAATAAAGTTATATTTAAAATTCAAATACCATTTACTATTAAATTAAAAATATGTGTTATCATTTAAAAAACCAAAGTTGGTTTTGATAGGTTATTGTTTATGACAGGTGAATCACTCTGTATACTTAGGCCTGAGGGGTGAAAATTGTAGATAGACCTTTATAATTACGAAGAAAATCGGATGCAATTCATAGTTTCCCGAATGCAACTAGTATGCGTTCTTTTTACAACAGAAATCGCGATAACAACACAAATCCGAGATTGATACTAATATCATTGTCAATGGTTTCTATATTAAAGAGCACCAAAACATTCGTTTAATAGATATAAAAAAACATCCGTATAACAGCTGTTGTAAAGTGCCACTATAATTGACACCTACTCTATTTAAGTTAATTAAAATTAAGAAACATCTAAATTATCAGTTTACGAATTTTCTAACACATTTTTTTTTGTTTTTTTTTTTTACACATTTGGCTTAGCAATTTTAAAACTATTTGTGAGATAAATACACACACACAGCGACGGATAAAAAAAATAATATTTAATTTTTTTCTACTTGTTTTTAAAAACAATGATCAATCAAGTGAAAAATGGTAATTAAATATGGACGGACATATTGTGTGTGCAAAGTTTTAAAAATTAAGTAACAATCTAATCATGTTTTTTTAACTAGTATTTAACTAACATAGTATTTGTATAAGTGAAAATAATCGTATAAGTATAGTAAAAAGACGATTGATTAACGTCTTACGATCTTTTTACGATCTTCTATAAGTAAAATAAATAATTGGAATGTCAATGGTTTATTGTGTTCATTCGTATAATTCAACCCAAGCCATGATCTTCAAAGAAAGTTTGAGGAGTTTCTTCCTGGAAAAGCAAAACATATTTTATAAGTATATATATATAAATATATATATATATTTTTTTTTAGGGAAAGTAATACATATTTTTTTGTACGTGTAGAAAACAAGTTTTTTCGGGAAAACGAACTATGTACAATTTCGACAATTATGTAGTAAAATAATTAACTAGTATTACATTTAATAGTTTTTAACCTACACCATTTGGTTTTAAATAAAGTTATAATTTTACTTGATTTATTTGAAGAAATAAATAATTAGGCAAGATTAGAAAATAAACACATTTTGGTAACGTTTTTAAATTATTAAAAAACAAATAAATAATTTTTCAATTAAACTTTTGTTTAAGATAAATAAATACAATGACGTATTTTGAACTCTTTATTGAAAATTGTCCTAATATTTTTTATAAATCCCAATTTGTATTCCAACACTTTAAATTGTTATACTTCTACTTATTATTAAAATTACTAGATAATAGGATGCTGCAAATAGAATTTTTAAGGTAATATTTGGAACAAAACTTGAAATACACCACCCTGTATACTAACTAGCCTAAACTTTTAACTAAAAGAAAATTCATATATTCGTATTAACAGAATTAATTTCTATAACATTATGCAATCAATTGTTGAAATCAATAAAAGCACACGAAATAGAATATAATAGAAAATATATGATAAATAAAAAATTAACAATTAAATAATTTTGTAAATAAGATATAAATATTTAATTAAACTATACTATGTACTCATATAACATACCGTAGAACCAATATAGCTTGATGACATCACTTGAGACAAAAAATTTAGGTAAATTATGATCATATAATGATAAAAATATAGTTTAAAAAATTGTATTAAGCATAAAATAAAAGATAATAAAAACAATTTCACCATCAACCATTATGCATAGATGCAAAGCAAAAAAATTTAAATATGATATTTATTAATTTTTATAAATTTTTACAAGTCTTACTAATGATAAAAAATAATTGATATATGTGTAATAAACTCAGATAAAATAAACAAAATATTAGTTAAAAAAATTATGTATCAGATTTGAGCCATAATAATTAGATATTTAATACCCACTATTTTTTTGAATGAAAATAAGTTGTTTAGCATATTATGAATATTTTGAGCTCTTAATAAATTTTTGGAAACTAAATTTATCATAATATATGTATAAGTTAAATAATTTACACTTATATACTGACAATATGAACAAATATAAATTGACTTTCTTCTTCTAATAAGCCCTCACTGAAATTTTATACACATTTGGCACAATGAATAGTATTTAATATATACGATCATTAAAATGATTGATATGTTATTAAAATTAAGTACCATAATTTTCAAATCAATGATTACATTTATAACCTTTTTCAAAATAATGAAGTTATAAATTACAGTATTATTGACGGTCCACAAGCACATTGTTTGAATTTAACATAATCATATAAAAAAAAATTACAATAATACTAAAATCATTAAGTTGAATGAGGAACACATGAGATTATTTAATGGCTGCCTTCATAATAGGCCAATCTCTTTCAGAGCACCTTCGACTGCCTCCTCCTACATATAACATATATTAAAATTGTAAATTAATATCCCACAACGTTGATAACATAAAAACAAAGAAAACACTATGGATAGTGTCTGTAAACTATGAATTTCGACCATGCAAATTAAAAAAAATAAAAACAAAAAAACTATTACAGGATAATAAACACATATATAGTATGCTAAATCAAGTTACATACATTTGTTTAAAAGTATGGATATAGCTAAATAGCTAATAAGAAGTGTAACATAAATTACTAGGTAAGCCACATCATTAAAAATGGAAGGTAATTTTAGTTTTATAAAAATAAAAATACAGGATTAAAGCTAAATTTTATGGATTAATGAGGTAAAAAAAAACAAATATTCTAATTATAAAAATTAACCCAGTGTATTATTTATATAAACCTATGAAATTCAAACAATGTTAAAACAAATAAATACATCAAATTAACACTTAAATTCTATTTAACCCTGTAAAAAAAAATAACGCTTACATGAATAACAATAATAGCAGTTTAATTAATAAATCTAAAATGGCATTTTAACAAATGACCAAAAAATAAAAATAAATAACTAAAAAATTATAACATTATAAAAGAATTTTTTTAAACATTATAGTGTTAATGAGGTCACATAATAATTAATATGTACAATTATTTAGTAACATAATGTAATTTAAAAAAATTATACTACAATTAAAACTTTTTTAGAAACATTTACGGAAAATAAGTATCTATAAAATGAGATTATTTTAAAATTAAAATAAACTCATTTGATTAATTTGACTGGATCATTTAAGCCATAAAATTCTTTATTTTAGACAGTTTCTTTTGGTAAAATTATTAGAATACATTTCTAAAAAACTACCATTTTTATTATGATTTTATAAAAAAAGTATGATTAGAACTCAGTAACATTTTATTAAATTAGTAAGCCACTATCATAATTTTTGTTTTTATTAAAATTTCTGGTTAATATTTTATTTTTTGATATTAGAAATAATTATAATTCATATATAGAATCTAAACAGAATGAACTAATAGTTATTTTGACTAGATGATTACTCATAATGTATGTTATTAAAGAAATAAAGAATTATTATGAACTCACACTAATATTCATTTTTTAAGTTATATACTTCATAGAGAAAAATTAGTAATATGTTTTATGAAAAATAAAATAAAGTTCTTATTTAATTGTTCACTTAATAAGTTTCTTATGAAAATTGTATATCACAGAAATATAGACATTTTTATAAGATTGCTTCAGACATTTTAAATGTATGTTAACATGTTAAACTTATTATCACTTAATGCTATTAAATTTTTAGTTTAAATTTTGAAGTTTATTTTATTGAACACATATAACTGGTTAAAATATTAAATTTTGCAAGCTATTGTTAAATGCTTTTTCAAAACTAAACAAAAGTACTAATAGGGAATAAATTAAATAAAAGGAAGTAAGCTATTAAATAAATTGCATCAAGTTTTAAGCATAAGATCCTAGATAAACAATACATATAGAAGATTAAGTGTTAAATTATATTATGCAGCATAAATTCAAGCATAGCTGTTAATTATTTTTTTCAATTTAATTGATTATTTAATAAATTTAATCTTATTATTTTATAGTCAAAGAAATAATTTTATTTAAATTATTTTATAACAAATGAGGAATATAATGAAAATAATTTTCATTTTTAAAAGAAACGAATACAAGAATTTATAAGAATAACTAAACCTAAAAAATTTCAAGAAAAACCACCCAAATTATGTTTAAATACAATAAAATTATTTTATTTTATAAGAACAAAGTAATTAAAATAATAATACATTTTTTGACAGCTAAATTTTTATATATGCATTAACATAAGTTATTTTAACATATAATTTTACTTTTGAAAATTATGTCAAATTAAAAAAAATTATATAATATAAAATTGGTGTTATTAATTTTTAAGATTAATTATTATTTGAGGAACAATAAAATTATCTTATAATACATAATTAAGAGTTCAATTTCAAGCAATAATATATGATAAAATAAAAATTAATGATTTGAAAAATTTAACTGTCAATTTTTATACTTAAATCTTGTAAAAATAAAAAATTAGATTTTTTTAACAAAATAGTAGAACAAAAATGAATAAATAAAAATAATATATATATATATATATTAATTGATGGTAGCTAAAAAGAATAAAGGAATGGGAAATTAAAAAATACAAATTTATTTAACAATTATATTATTATTTTTAAATTTAACAAAAATAAATTTAATATATTAAGTCTAATTTTGGTTATCATACTTTGGTTAAGAATTTAAAAATTTGCACTTTGATTTATATAATTTATTATACATAAAATTTGACTAAGATTTTTAGTCGACTAGAGTGAATACTGTTTTTAAAATATAATTATATTATAGATTTTTTTCTTTGAAAAGAACACAATTTGAAAATTAACATAAATAAACAAAATAATTAATAATTGAATAATATTTTAAAGTTAAATTATTTCAATAACTGAAGGAGTTTTTTTCTTTTGTTATTGAGTACATACAATCAAGCACGTTAGTTTTTTTCTTATTAAGTTGGCAAGATATATGCAAACAAAATTTAATATGCATTGAAGCCATTAAAATATAATTATTCCAATTTTTTAAAAGGATGGTAACTATGTTTTTTAATTTGATAAAATAATAACTACAAAAAAAAAATTAAAGTTCTAATGGAGTGTTTCCATAACTAACCTCTTGCAAAAGATCCTGTGCAGATATAGCTTTAAGAACATTTTTCTTGCTTGTCTCTTGTATTTCACCTCCAAGTAATAGTTCATCTAATATAAAGTATGCTTTTTCAAAATTAAAAATTATGTCCAATTCACAAACCTACAAAATAATTTTGAAAAAAACTGTAATTAGCCATATTTTAAACATAATGCTCTATAATTAAATGATGAATTGAAATATATACAAATTATTAATTAGGAAATTTTATAATAAAAATTGACCACTTGTGGCTATTATTAAAAATTAAAACTATTTTTAAAATATTAAACTCAAAATGCTACCAAAAAATTACTAAAAAATCTCGGGTATATATTTTAGAAACAATGTTACCATCATCAACACTAAACACATACTTATGTGTATATATTTAGCGATTTTGATTTTTTAGTAATTTATTTGTAACTTTTTGAGTTTATTATTTTTTAATTTTAAATTAATAATATGTTAAAGATAGTTTAAATTTAAAATTTTTTAATTTAATTACCAATTTAATAATTTTATAAAAAGATTTACAATTAATAATTTTTCAGATAAACTATCTTATTTTTACTAAAGTTTGTACATTTTTATTTTTGTTTACATTTATAGTAATTTGGATAACTATTTATAAGCTACTAATCTATCAGGACACACACCACTGATGATTCTTCAAAAAATATGTATTGCCATAATTTAATAACTAGTTTGAGTGCTATTTTATTATATCATATCAAATCAATATATATATATATATATAAAGTGACTGTGTACAGAATAGCTACCATAAACAAGCATTTTACTAAAAATGTTCAGATTCAATTGATTTGAAATACCTATATGTTACTGTCATGTTTTTAGGGGAAATAATTGTTGATAAAAATGTTGCTTATGACAATTAGTATACAAACAGTTGATATATTATCATTTTACTCTAAAAAATACATGAATGATGATGCACAAATAGAGTTTAGTGATTAGCATTCCTCCTATAATGTAGATAATTTTACTTATTGTGATACAAAAATGTGTTTTTGGTTGGGGAAGAGCATTTAAATACTTCATTAGGTCCTACTACAAAAATGATTAATTACATTTCCAACTATGGTGATAAAGAGGTATCCCTCCCCCAAAGTTCCCCAAGGTTTCATTAAAGGGCAATGTACAAGTATTGGGTCCAGTAGAAAATGTAAAATCAGAATAATGTACAAAAATTAAAATATAAAGGTACAAATTAATAGATTAATTTAATACAGCTATGTAATTAGTTAACCTTTTAACTACTGCTGTTGTGAGCAGAAATCAAAGGATAAAATTAATACATAAGTATAAAGTGGATAAATTTTATATAATAAAATATTTAAGTTTAAATAGTTATCAATTTATTTGATTTAGAGTGAGCTGTGAATAGATATTCTCAAAATAATAATCAATGAAAATTCTTGATATAATTAATGCACAAAAATATTAAATTTTTTTTCGAGAATTTTCACTATATTTCTACAAAATGTATGTTTATTTTTATCTTTACTTGGCAACCATAAAGGATTTTTAAATAAAACTTAATGTATATCATGAATATCATACAAACATTTCACATTCTAATACCATATATAAAATTACTCACACTGCCAAAGTATTTGTCTAATAGTTCAACATAACGGTGAATTATTTCTAATGTTAGGAGCTCATTATCATTCTGTTCAATTGCACAACAAAAATATAAGCTTGCATACCTGAAACAAATTTTACAAAAAAAAAAAGAAATGATAAAAGCTTTAATTTTATTTGAGTTTAAAATCAATCATATAAGACATTTTAAAATTGTTAATAAAATGTATTTATTTACTTTATACTAAAAGGAAAATAAAATAAACTCAAAGTCAAATCTTGGGAGTTAGGTAGTTACCAAATAAAATTATTTTATTATAAAATTTTGAAATTTACTTTAAATCATTCTTTTGTTATGTATGAATAATGCAAAATATATAAAATGTATATTTCAAATCTAATAAGTACAACTTACGTTGATAAAATGATGAGAAAGTTTTAAATTATCAAATCATTCAATTCAGTTCCATCAATTTTAGGTATAACATCATTAAATGTTGTATGTTAATATTAACACCTGGTGTCTGACCAATGACTATTGTCACAGGGGTATATCAATTATGCAGTTCAAAGATGGATAATGAGAGCAAGACTTATCAAACAAAATCATTATTATTAGGTTTTAAGAAAATTTTTAAAAACTATCTTCTATATTCTCCTCAAAATTGATCTTATTTGAATCATATAATACAAAGTGTTTGTTTAACTATGACTCAAGTACTATATTAAAAAATATATATATTTATCTAAGAAAATGACTGAATGATATCAACTTACAGGCTAAAGGTTTGAAAGATATTAGCATTTTTATAACAAGATAGAATAAATTGTGTGATTTATTAATGCCTAGATATTAAATAGTCACTAGCCTGTTAAACGGTTCTGCACTTTACCTCCAATTTTTATATTAAAGAGTTAATATCATCTAAAATACTGGTCCAAAAGTTGTTATTGACCAGTAATTTTCTAGTTTGTAATATGAATTAACATGATTCTATTTAAAAATCTTAAGTTGATTAAATTCTAAAGGAAAAAGAGGAGGGATAAGAACACAACTCGGTTCCCCAACTTATTTTTTTCAGTTTCATATAAAATGTCTACAGCTTAATTTTGTATGATAGATTTTCACTAAAAAACTTTTACAGAAACAATTATGTCTTTCAATTTTTATTGAATTTTAGCAATTTTAACTTACCTTTTGTAAACAATTTTTAATTCCTTCCATTCAAGAAAGCTGCACATTTTTGGTTTTCTAGCTAAGATTGTAGTTATGAGCTCTCTAGTTATTTTTTTCTTCACTTTGTCAGGATGAGCCACATACCACTTTTGAAGTCTGAGTTTTCCTTGACGGCTAAACAATAACATAAAGTGCATCTATATATAAACAAAAAAAAATTAATACTGTAAGTTAAGGAATCTTTTATTGCATTTTAAAATAGAAAAATTAAGTGTATCAAGTCAAGGAAAATAACTAAATAAAAAATTAATTATGTGTATTTAGAATAATATTCCAGAAAATATGACAAATCCAAAAACTTTTGATCTAATTACTATTCCATTGAAATTTTTTAAAAATAATTATTGCTTTTTTAGACTACATTAAAAGTATATTTTTTATTATTATCGCTAATATGAAAAAATAATTTTTTTCAAAATTTCAAAATAGCGATTTTTTAGTATTTTCTTATAGAAATTGTTGATGGGTTGATGATAATTTTAGGGCAAGTACTTATTAACTTAAAAACATTATAATACAGACAGTATAGCTAAGCTAAGTATACTCGGGCAGAATACACATATACAAGTACTGGCTAATGCCACACTACATAACCCTTCACTCTATGTTTATTTTTAAGATTTTTGTAACTTAATAAGTATTTGTCTTAAATTAATCATCGAACAAACAAAAGTTTTTTTAAACTTCAAAATCTTTTTTGAAATGTTGAAAAGAAACAAAAATTTTTATTATTATTGACAAATAATAAAAATATACTGTTAATATAGTATAATAAGGCATTAATAACTTTTTTAAATGCAACAAAAAATAATTGTATCATAAGTATTAACTGGATTTGTCATTGCGACTCATTTTGTATTGTATCAAACATTTAACTTAATGTCTCTAAAAATAAACAATATTTTATTAATAATTGCAAATGATACTATTAATAATATAAAATTTAGAAAGATATAAAATACAAAGTGTTAGCCTAAGCTTACAGCTAGTTATTTGGTATTAATAAGGACAGCAAATTAATGTTTTATTTCATAGAATGGGAGGCAACAGATATCCAAAATTAAATAATATTTTCCAGTGTACAAATGATATAAAATAGTAAACAATAAAAAAAAAATACAAATGAAAAAACTTTCAACATATTCAAATATAAATCACTTTTGTGATTATAAAAGTAGCTTTAATTTTAATTAATGATATCATACTAAACTTTTAGAGATTTATTACAAAGGTTAGTAAATACATTTATGTTATAACAGTAGGTAGATATAAATTTAATTAAATAACACTGTAAGAACTATTTAATAATTTAATCATATAACCACGTCTTAATTTTGGTTATTTGATTAAAAACATTAAAAACCTACCATATTTTAGATATGAATACGTACACACATTAAAAAGATTGTTTTATTTTCAGTACATAAGTTTAAAATTTATAATTTTAAATTGAAAAATATTGTTATTTAAAATATTAAATTGTAATTACTACTGTAACAATCTTATGCGATTCCAAAATTGTTAACATTGTAATATTTCCTTATCAATTAACACGTCTAATAGACATACATTCGAACGAGTGAGAAGCTACCAATTTCAGCTCCACCAACTTCTTATCACTAACATAATTCAGTTACCACTGAGTTACCAATTAATTACATGGTTTAAGGATTTTCCCTACCGCTAGATGTAGCCTAATAATACCATGAAGCATATACGTCAGTGTAACTGAATAGTACAAGGATAAACAGCGGTAATAACACTTCGTAGCCTATAAAGGCCTAGCTAGCCTACCTACTTAGCATGAATATTAGTAATTGATTAGTAGTATTATACTGCAGCTACTCGTGTAAGGGTGGAATACTATCAAGAATTTTATATGTGGTTACCATTGTGTTACCAAAAAAATTATTAATAATAAGAATTAGATAGATCAGAAATTGGTAGCTTCACGCATATCCACTCGGTCGGATAATCTTTGTACCAATGATCTTTAGTATTGGACCAGTATTACCAATGTAAAATCTTTATTAATAAAAAATTACGATAGCAATAATTATTGTCGTTATTTTAAATGTAGTAATTATTACCGTATATAAAATTTGAATTACCACTTTTCTAATACATTTTCTCCGTATGATAGAATTTCTATTTGATGATAGAAGCATAATGAACCTCCACTTCCATTAATCAAACATAATTATATTATGCTGTTGTAGTGTTATAGCGGAACATGAAGAAAATCCACCCAACAAATATTATATTTGTACTATAGAAACAAATTTAAAAAATGAAGATTTTTATCTTTACAGCTACGTATTAAAATTACTAGTTTCACTTAAACGAAATTTTTTTTTTATATAGCGTACACAAGGAGCGAAGTACTAATATCACAAAACTTATCTAATTGTAGCTATCAACGACATAATTTTGAAAAATTTATTATTTAATAATTAAATGTTAATGAAAATTAAGAATATAATATTGTCTTATTTGCAATCATTGTTAATAGTTGATGTTCCATCAAAGGATCCAGAATTTCATATATATGTCACACTTCAGTATACTAATTATACTTAATTACTCTGAGACCAATTACACCATAATTTCAGTACCTTAAGATAATACAGATGATTAGAATAAAATATCTCATTTAGGAGTGTCAAATTATAATAGACTGGAGCAAATTTTTGACCGACATAATTTTGTCCTACTAAAAAAATAAAATACTAATGTGTATTCAAATTTATAGTTAGTAATAACAAATTAATTAAAATTTAGTGCAACAGAATTACAAAACTTTACAATCATTACAAAGTACAAATTATAAATACCGTATTGCGTTTCTGTTAACGTAACACAACAAAACATAAATAAAATTACGATAGCCACGATATACAACAAATATTTAAATATAAACTATGTGCATGGACTTAAAAAAGTTCATAAGTCTGTAAATGAGCCTGATAAAAATTTCAAGCTTTAAATTGAAAAACGCCAGTGGCAATAAGCATATTTTTCAAAAAATACCAACATTTTTAAACGCTCACGGTGTGCCAAAATTTTTTTCATTTTCGCCAAAAATTTTCTCAGAGTAAGTTTGCTAAGCTATATTATTAAAAACAAACATTTTTGAAATTGTAACTCGTTACGTAATTCTTCCAGTATTGATAACATTTTTAATATTTTATTATACCGTTGATTTTTTTTAATTAGCCACTCGATTTCTCTTAACATAATAATTACGTTCAAAATTATTACGTTTATTATTATTACAAAATTTTTGTATAATCTTTTAGCTTCGATGCGAAGCTGAAAAGGTATTAATTTTACTATGATGTTTTTTTTGGGGGGGGGGTCTGTGAACGCTCAATCTCAGCTCTCGCTGGACCGATTTTGATGAAAAATAAGTCAAAAGATCACAAATCGTATCCAGTCGAAGACATTACCCTCAAAATTTGAAAAAAATTCCCTCGTTTCACTTAAACGAGGGAAATCCCCCAAAAAATTACAAATTTAAAAATCGCTAATTATCGAAATTTTTTTAATTTTTTTTACTTAAAATTGCCATAACTTTTTTAAAACTTGTCTTTTTGGTGAAAACGGACATCAAAGTTAAAGAAAAACGTACGNCTTGTCTTTTTGGTGAAAACGGACATCAAAGTTAAAGAAAAACGTACGATTTCCGAGAAAAAATTCTCGATTTTATATTTTATATTATTAAATTTACATTGCTATAACTTTTGGAAAAATGTATGGATCAATATTATTATTTTTTTATTATAAATTTTTATATACCCCTTTCATCTGACACACTTTTTTTGTAAATCGGATCATACCCCTTTATACAAGGGATGGTCAAAACTTGAAACATGCGTATTGAAACTAGGATATTTTCAATTTAATTTTTTAAAATGTTCCAGAAATACTGACACTTATATATATATCTTAAATTAAAGCTTATGTAATATATTTTAATTTGAAAAAAAAAAAATTTGACCTCTGGATTTGTCTTCATGGTAAAAAAAATATAGTTTAAAAAAACTAAAAAAACACGCTTTTAAAGCACATCGAACTAAAAAGTTAAAAATAATTTTTAAAATAAGCTTAAAATAATTATGAACAAAAAATACTAGTATTATTGTGATAAAAACGTCGGGCGTTTAATATACGAAAAATATGACACAGAGCACCCAAACGCTTTTATCACAATAATACTAGTATTTTTTGTTCATAATTATTTTAAGCTTATTTTAAAAATTATTTTTAACTTTTTAGTTCGATGTGCTTTAAAAGCGTGTTTTTTTAGTTTTTTTAAACTATATTTTTTTTACCATGAAGACAAATCCAGAGGTCAAATTTTTTTTTTTTCAAATTAAAATATATTACATAAGCTTTAATTTAAGATATATATATAAGTGTCAGTATTTCTGGAACATTTTAAAAAATTAAATTGAAAATATCCTAGTTTCAATACGCATGTTTCAAGTTTTGACCATCCCTTGTATAAAGGGGTATGATCCGATTTACAAAAAAAGTGTGTCAGATGAAAGGGGTATATAAAAATTTATAATAAAAAAATAATAATATTGATCCATACATTTTTCCAAAAGTTATAGCAATGTAAATTTAATAATATAAAATATAAAATCGAGAATTTTTTCTCGGAAATCGTACGTTTTTCTTTAACTTTGATGTCCGTTTTCACCAAAAAGACAAGTTTTAAAAAAGTTATGGCAATTTTAAGTAAAAAAAATTGAAAAAATTTCGATAATTAGCGATTTTTAAATTTGTAATTTTTTTGGAGATTTCCCCCTTTTACGGGGAACGAGGGAATTTTTTTCAATTTTTAAGGGTAATGTCTTC